CCAGCTTTCAATGTGATATTTATCCAAATATGTTACATGTACGAAATTGAATCATTAATCTAACAACCGATTTGAAGGAGCATTGACACACGGCAGTAGCTACAGATAGGCTCGGTAACCTCGTCGCTCACTCGGGCCTCGACTGTTTGTTGATGCAGAACTAAACATGCTTGCTACACAAAAAAATGTCATACAGCTTTGCTCAAGTGCGTGAGAAACATCGGGACTCTCTTATAAGGGTATACTAAAATATATACACATCAAAGAAACTTTATTTCACATATTCGACTGATGGAATTAACAATACACTTTATCCATTTACCAAAATAAGCGTGTCTCTTATGAAACGAATCTTTCAAATTTCTAAAGCTCTCTTTCCAAAAGTCCTTTTGTGAAATATTAACTTTGTGAAATTCTGCCTTTGATATAGTATCGAGATAGTTTCATGTCATGAAATTAACAACCATCAACCTCCCTTGCATACCAATCTCCTCCCAATTCAGTTCAGATCATGTGACCCGAAACGGTGGCTTACACACAAATGCTGTCATAGGATTTTTAAAGGAAATTTAAGACATCGCAAATCATTTTTCTATTTTTCCACATACAGACAAAAATCAAATTTCTGTTTTGTAAATTCTTTTTTGTTTACCAAACCATGACTTCGACTTCAGCACACGAAAACATTGCATATATATTCTACACAACCTCCCTTCCTTTCCAAGTGACAGGTGTTGTAGAGTATTAGTTTAGATATTAAGCAGACCAAAATACTACTATATTGTGAAATGTACACTGTGGGAAAAGAAGAAATATAAGCGCCTACCTTTGTAACTGACCAGGTATTGTTGTGACCAGGTAAAATATCCCATTGTTACATAAGAGAAGGAAAGAGTCCTTGTAGGGAGCTGTCACAAGTAACATATCTATTGAGACACAGCTTGGAAACACAGCTCTGCTACACCACGCATTTTTAGAAACTCATGTCATCAGAAACAGTTTCTTTGAACTTTCTCACGGTATACGAGCCTGTATACGTCAAGGCTAACAGGTGAGGGATCACTGACCCAGTGTTAAGGTAACAACCAAGGGAGGTAACTGAGATCAAGTGACTACATGATTTAGATCATTGCTCAATGTAAAATTAGACCTCCTAGTGCAAACTGTGTCTCGTGTGTCCCACATCACGCTTCTCATATGATTTGTCTCGTAATTTCCTTGTATCAGACCACAACCTTTCATTTTATAAAGGTAACGTGTTTGACGCTGTTCTCACGGCCGTATGTTAAAAGTCAGTCTGGATATAGCCCTGATGTGAAACGGGGATACCCATTACCAAGTAGGCTATCACCACATGATAAATTTACTTACCCCTTTGTCCGTGCACAATCAAACACAAATATTGACATTTCTTACAAGCACGCAATAAAATATGTGAAAGATTTTGCTGGTCGTCAAACCTATTTATATACATTATCGTAACCTCCGTTCCCAACTGTAATACTGTGGACTCGTCGTTTCCCATGGTCTAAATGTAGTGCATTCGTCAATCGCTATCTAGCAACGTATATCACTATCGGGGCATCGCCACGACTTAATATACTTATAGACCTTACGACATGATCTGAGTGACAATGCGACCGGGTACCCGTGTGCTTTAATAATCCTTTATTTCAACAATATTGCGGCGTGGGATCTCGGCGTCAACACCGATGACAACTATATATTTCTATACAAGTAATACCAAATGACTACGGAAGCGATTCGTGTAGTGTTGTAGTAACTGCGAGTGACGTTTGATGTTTACGGGGTGGGCCGCTTTTCAGTCATAAGAACTACAAAACCTTCTTTCATTAGTTTGTCATAAGGGCTGAAAAACCCACACTAAGAACTGTCCTAAAGTATTACTTCGAGTTGATCATCGCAGGCTACTTCTTTAACATATAAGACGAGTATATGGATGACAACTTCTTGTTTATTGTATATCACAACGTTTCTGGGCTACTTCTTGCCCCTTCTTCAGGCGACTGAGAGAGCAAGAAGTAGCCCAGAAACGTTGTTGTACAATAAACAAGAAGTTGCCATCCATATACTCGTCTTATATATTCACCAACTTCTAAATGCCTCTCAAGAATCTTACTTCTTTAACGTATTTCGTGTATGAATGGGGTCTGTCTGTCTGTGTGTCTGTCTGTCTGTGTGTGTGTCCGTGGGTGTATATGTTTTGTCTCCTCTGCTATTCTTATCTTATGTGTGAGTGAGTTTAGTTTTACGCCTCTTTTAGCAATGGAAAATAGGTTTTAGACATTGAACCCATATGGGGAATCGAACCCAGGTCTTCGGCGTAACGAGCGAACGCTTTTACTACAGGGATACCCCACCGCCCATATTTTATGTGTGAGCATGCGTGCACGTCGGTGCGGGTTCAGGGTCAGAAAGCGCAGGGGTTGTGTCATGTTTTCATTAACGCAATGGAAATGATAAACATTCTGTTTGCAAACAAGCGTTTGACCGTTTAGCGTCTTGAGCTAAGATATCCGTCCTATGTTGATCCACCAAACAAGCCGGTGATTGAGATGTACCATATGTTGGGTTACTTTATTCCCCCACTCATCGTGGGTATGATCCAGTTATTGTTTATTTTTCGCCCAGCACTAAATGAATGAGGTTATGTCATACGAAGGGCTGAGGAAAGAGAGATTTTTTGCATTTCCTGATTGGTACCTCCCGATACAGCTGAAAGTGTGTTCCTTGAAGCGCTCATAAATGAAGGAATTCTCGGAGTAATGGCGTTCGGCCACAGTGGCTGGTCCCCGATAGGCGACCCTAAAACTGGCATTATGAAGTCCGATGACTGTTTGTTAGAATAAACCCTTTATTTGTGTCTGTCACCTGCTATTTTCCTTCACGAAAAGTTCTTGAAATGGATTTCTCTCGATACAAAATATGTGATAGAAGTTGGTTCCACAGCAGTATGTAATCCATATCAATGCAGACAATGGTACATCAAGGAACGAAATCAACACATCGTAGGCTACTTCCGGTATTCCGTATGACCAAGTCATCTGTCCCAGTCCCTGGCCCAGTCATCCAAGGTGCCATTAGTCGGTGTGCATCACTAAGTCTTTGAGAATTCTGCTAAGTCTGCTTTTGGGTTCGAATCCCAGGTTCAGCCTGATTACGATACTTGGTTTGAATAATTACTGGTGTTTATCTTGGGTTCACACGGTGATTAATCTACGTAAACCTCGTTCTATCAAATGGAAGACGAAGGTATATACGGTCATTACTGGAAATATTTTCCTATCATCCCTGGGTGTTGAACTGAAAAGTGATGGACTGACAGCCAACGCCTAGCTTATAAAAATGACAATAAAAATCAAGATTTCCCTCGTAAATAAATAAACCCCCAGATAGCCATTCCCACAGAGTATTCAGCAAACCTTCTCAGGCTGTTCTGATTCTGGAGTCGCAAGTACCTATGCTTATCGTAGGAGGCGTCGAAATGGATTGGTGATCTGTATGCGCGCGGTGGTTGGGTCGACTCTGTTATCGAATCCAAGCGGCGTGGGGCGTTGCTATCAAATCAATCACAGGTTTGTTTGATCCAGACTCGATTATTTACAGGCCGACGTGACACAACCGGAAATTTGCTGACAACAGCGAAAAGCAACATTCTTGGCAAGAACAGGCTTCCTACAGTTGAAGAATCAGGTGTTAAAAGGGTTTAAACTTATTCGTTTGTGACAGTTTGTACGGAGGCAATTATAATGGATTTAAGGCAATTGTAATTTTAATGCATTTCAGACAATTATAATTTAAGCGGAGTTAAGTTTGAAATAGTCCAGTGACAAACAACACGACCATATTTTCTGCTCGAGTGGAGAACGCAGAAGTTAGTCACTTGGCTTGTCCACGTGGTTAGCCCCTTGTCTTGACTTCAATTAATAAAATACACATACGTCTGCAAATGTCTGTTAAATTCAAAGGACGCACCGGGATAACAAGCACCATGGCATGTAGCTGGAACATTAACCATGTACAGGCAGTTGTCGTTTGTAGATAATCTCCTAATCGCTGTAACCCTAAGTCTCCGTTTCACACATTCAAAGTGAAACTTATCTTTTGAACTTAACATGGGTGACTCACTCGATGGTAATGCTATAATCCATGTATCCTAGTCTCCATTGATTCAATCAAAAACTATGACAATGTTCAGGAATGCGGTGGATGGCGTCGCTCTGCCCACGATGTTGACCGTTCCTATAGTCACCCATGTCCCTGAAATTCCGATATTACCCGACCTGGCGGTATAGAAATTCCAATATTACCTGACCTGGCGGTAGAGACATTCTCGTATTGCTCCGCCCACCGGTGCTATTTGGGCATGAGAGGTGCCTTGTTCACGCCGGGGTCTAATTACGCCATAATAATGAGTTCTTATGAAGTGGCTTTTAGAATGTGTACATTTGACAAACGAGTAGAAAATGGTATTTGTAGCTAATCCTGCAATAAATCAGAACGATCGAACATAGACCGTGTACCCCCATTGATAACCTCACTGACGTCGGGAATTTGAACCCTGTTCGTCGTTTATAAATGACGCACGGCCTCCGGAAATAAGCGCCAGGCCACACCTAAAACCACTTTGTGTTTTTTTAAACAAAAATATTGATCCAAATATTTTTGGATATTTGTTGTTTTAATGCGCATACCGACACCAGTGTCTTATTACTGGCGAGATTTCGCAGCCATAGCAAACAAGGACCCCTCTCAGCAAGTTTTCTTTGATTTTGCTCTATTTATTGATTCCATTTCTGGAGAGGTGGGAAGATCGTGACGAGTGACAGGCCAGAAACAAACACATAAAATGACTAACAATCTTATACTGTTGAGAAGGAAGATATCTCAATACCTCATGCAGTGAATGGATGGCCACAAACCGGTACACGTATGCAGATTAACAGTTACATGGGTTACCTCCCCTACTTCCCTTGCACGTGCAGAATGCGCCCCATTGGTCAATAACGGAAGTGCTTCAGCAGGCGTACAGGTGTGCATATTATATATATCATGTCCAATTCGTTTCGAATGGATATCATTTTAAATCATTCAATACTTCCTTGCATTTTGTACATCCTAAATCGAAAATGAAAGCCAAGTGTGGATACGCATGATGTGGAAAGTGAGGATAGTGTTGGTTTGTGCAAGTATGAAAATAATGTAAATTATCAAACATTGGCGCAGTACTATAATATTGTGCATTTTGGTTTCCAAATATGCAGGCTATTTTATTGTTACCAATGTGTACTATCGATGGTATATACGTGTTCAGAGTCATTTTGATTTGCAGAGATCGAAATGTGCATGTCCAGGCAGTAAGGAAACAAAGGCGTGAAGTTCCTTTTCTGGTTATTTTAGATAGGTTGTTTTCTGGACAACATTTAATCATTTGTATTTAATTCACTTTATAATAAGAACATATTGAAGGGCTACTGATACTGCAGATATGAGACATCTGTAATATGGGTGGTGGGGTAGCCTAATGGTTAAAGCGTCCTCTCATCACACTGAAGACATGGTTCGATTCCTTACATGGGAACAATGTGTGAAGCCCATTTCAGGTGTCCCCAGCCATGATACTGCTGGAATATTGCTAAAAGTGGCGTAAAACTATACTCACTCATTATATCTGTAATGCATGTTCAAAACATATTAAGGGAGATGTACTGAAAGATAGAGGGGAGAAGTGTATTCTAGTGGGTGCAGTCATTGTTTAAAACTGATTGAACCATCATATCTGCAGCCTCAGCATAACCTTCCTCCAATGTCACAGATGTCAAGCAAAACAATCAAATACAAATCAAAGCTTATCAGAGCTGCAATGCTGAAATATTGACATAACAAAATGACTATGACAAATGAAATTGTAGAGTCCCTGTTTGCTGAAATAAGAAGGAAGAGTGCATGCAAACATTGATATCAGTGGCATGGCAACAGGAGGGTGTCTGGTGGTTTCTAGGTAACAAGAGACAATGGTGTTTGTGGGAGCAGAACATAAAAATATTAAAGGGCTTGTCTCAACACTGAAATGTATTGTTTGATTATGTCTTAAAGACACTATCCTCTACTGGTGTTTTTACTGCCAAGGTCTGCATTCTTAGGTAATATGCATGTGCTATTATCATTTTATACATCAAAGGAACAGTGTATCTGAGTGTTGAAATTCCATAACAATACATCTGAATGGTAATAGTTAAGTACCCCATGTGCCTTTGAGGCACAGTTGGGTAGCATGGTGGGGTAGCCTAGTGTCTAAAGCGTTCGCTTGTCACGCTGAGGACCCGGCTTTGATTCCCCACATGGGCACAATGTGTGAAGCCCATTTCTGGTGTCCCCTGCCATGATATTACTGGAATATTGCTAAAAGTGACATAAACCCATGTTCACTCACTATTACCAATGATACATTACCAGCCACATGTGAGTAACACTATTGAAATTTCCATGACAACAATGTGCCTGGATATTGAAATAGTCACTGTATGTTTTAGTCTGTCAGACAGACCCTGAAGCAAATATATCCAAGAAAGCCCATGCAAGTCTAGAAAATGTGGCAAGTCTAGATTTCCACAGCTTAAAATGAAGAAAGTCTCAGGGCTCGTTTTCATTATTATTATTTTTTATTATTATGAGCTTTTTCTCTGTAAAATATTTTCATTTCAGAGACTAGTTGTTAGTCTATGTATGTATCTATATTCACATACCGGTATGCAAAATGATGAAAGTACATTGATTATATAATGAAGACATAATAAAACAGAATTTCACCCTCTCATTTCACATGCCTTTATCATAACTTCTATCATAAACTTGTACATAATTGGTGATTAAACTTGGCTAATTAGTAAATTCAAGTGACAGTTAATTTTATACTAGTAAAAGTTTTATCATTTGTACAAAATGAGCACTGAATGACAACCCTGATCACACAAGGACATTAAGTTTCACAAATGATATCACTTACATTGTTTTCTGAGCCCATATTTCCACCAGTGCAAACAGTGCTTTATTCCAGTGATGTATGAATGATTGCTCTGAATGATCATAGCCCATGCTTGTTTCAAGTAAAAACTCTGTGGTAAATTCTGTTTTATTTTCTATAACTGGTGTGCTACTGAGCTTTTGAGACAATCCCTAACTATAATCAGATAATTGTATAATAGCAAAACTGACCCCACCTAAATGACATTTATGCTTATGAACTACCTATGGTCCCCATGAGTAGCCCATCAAATGTCATGGAAACGTATATCTCGTGTTACTAGTACTTACTTATTGGTCTGTTGATAATTACACAATATACTATTTTTTTAAATGAATATATGTCAGCTTGTCTCACATTGTCTATGTCATGTGCACTTTTACTATGGACATGACGGTAATTAAGTCATCATCAGAGCTGAATTAAACACGCCCCCCACCATCAGGAGGATTAGTCATCCACATGTACATGTTTCAATCTGTATACTTCTCACTGTTTTATCCCTAACCAGGGGCGGTGGGGTAGCCTAGTGGTTAAGGCGTTAGCTCCACACACTGAAGGCCCGGGATCGATTCCAGACATGGGTACATTGTGTGAATATTGCTAAGACCCCCAAAAATATGTCTGTTTCCGGTAACCCCACCGACCCTAATCTTTTTTTAACCAAGTCAATATCATGACTGGAGTACATTTCAACTCATCATTTTTATCCAAATCGAGTATGATACTTTCATGTTTTTCAGTGTACGTAGGGCTAAAATGGATTGCATTGAATTGGTATAATGGGTCCTCACTGACCAAATCTGCAAATAAATAATGATTTGATATAGAAATCTTTCAATGTTTCATCATAAGACATTGTCACTACATGATATGGTACTCTTGAAGACCTCAGGTGCCCACCTGGTGCCACTAAGAAATAAAAAAAAGAAGATAAAACCGACCCACCTACCCTATTTTTAAAAAGCATGTAACAGGAAACGGACATATAGTTTTTTGGCCTAAAAGCAGTGTAAAACTCACTCACTCACACTGAACATGTCGGATGTATTTTGTTTATCACTATGTATCATGTATCATGTATCATGCAGTTCTGGAGACATTATATACATGGTCTGATCATCTTTCTATGGTCTTTTAGCTATTTGTTATTGTTCAGTTGTGATGTGCATTTGCAATAAACAGAAATGTATTTGATACAATGGTTTATTGTAAGTTGCCAGTTTTGAAATTGTCAGACAAAATTGTTGAGCTGTGTCACTTTGGACTGTCTAAGTGGTCAGTGGTTCGGTGCAATAGAAGGTATGGCCTTGAAGGCCCTTGCTGACTGACTGATTGCCATAAGAGGTTAACTGTGGCCATGGGATATTGGCTGTTGCCGGAGGAGACTGACCATTGCCAAGGAAATTGACTGTTGCTGTGGCAGAAGTAAGACCTTGCTCGCTCCCTCCTTCCCTCACTCCCTCCCTCACTCCCTCCTCCTCCCTCACTCACTCCTTCCCTCACTCACTCACTCACTCACTCACTCACTCACTCACTCACTCACTCACTCACTCACTCACTCACTCACTCACTCACTCACTCACTCACTCACTCCTCCTCCTCTCTCCTCACTCCTCACTCCACTCACTCACCTCCTCACTCACTCACTCACTCACTCACTCACTCACTCACTCACTCACTCTCCCTGGCACTCACTATCCCTCCCTCACTCACTCTCACTCACTCTTGGCATGGTATTTTTCTGTACTTTGACTGACATTCAGTGTTGATTTCCAGCAATGATAAAGCCAGTGGTGGCCCATGTGGCTGTAGTTCTAGTTATTTCCATAAAGTATGTGTATTAACCAGTCTGTGTGACTGACAGCTCCCAGCAACTGTAGTTATACCCATTCAGCATAATTATTACTCTTCTTTTAGGACGTTATGAGCATTATCTCCTGCTGCAGTAGTTCCACGACAACCACCACTACTGATGGCTCTCTGTGAACCCTGCCCATTGATTGGAGATATACGGTGTTTTTGTGTGCTTTTTTGCAGAGAATCGGTTGCTGCATCCAACCAGAACACAGCTCGTTGAATACCAGCGGAATAGATGGGGTTGAGACAGCATGAAGTGACTGTCTTCATACATATGGATCAACAGCTGAGGAAGAGGTGAGACAAAATTTTAGAGCTGCAAATTTCCTAAAACATGTGAAATATATCACTTTAACCTAAATAATTTTGAGTTGCTCTTGTACGAATGTATATGAAGATTTTCAAAACCTCAATTATATAACACTGACTGACTGACTGAATTTGATTTTATGCCGCTTTTAGCAATATTCCAGCAACATCACGGCAGGGGACACCAGAAATGGGCTTCACAAATTGTACCCATGTGGGGATTCGAACCCGGGTCTTCGGCGTGATCAATTATATAACAACACTCAGGTATATATCCTATTTATTATTCTCTGACTATTTAATAGTCTGCATATTTGATAAAAGCCTTCCAGTAATTTTCTACTAAAGGTCATCCTCCAATGTTTTGATTGTCCTGCAACAAATCATGTTTATGTCGTAACTGATTAGAAGTCGTATACAGAAACTAATCAGTTTCGAAAAGAAACTTTATGATGTACATATTCTTGTTACGTTTTCTATAACAACAGGGGGCTAGGGGGACGGGGGCTAGAGGAATGATGCCATTTGAAGATGTAGTTTTGAATGCACATGATCACATAGAAACAGTCTCTCGTGACTCCATTTTACTCGTACATAAAATATAAAACGACCACCCAGTATCTATGCACGTGCATTGGGTGGACATTGGTTCACTTTGTATATTGTATGGGACTTTGTTTTAAGCTGGGTTTGGTTCTCAAAGTCATGATTATTTTTGCACCTGGGGATCATTCTCGACTTCGAACCCGTCCCATTTGTTAAAATACACTTCACAATCTGTTTATTCTCTTGAAAATAAATTATCTTATGACGTCTCAAGCCATTAAAGATATTAAATTCTTCTAGGTTAGGCCACAATAACATATAATGGGTGAAAATCGGATAATTAATTTATTATGGCCTGACAGTGGATGTGTGAACAACTTACTGGTAAGCTTGGTGAATGTGATTTTTTTGTCCATTAAAACATTTCCGTGGGAACAAGTCTCTCTGGAGTTACATGTTTTATGAATGAAGTGCTTTGTGACTTATACCAATGAACACTGATAAATGCAAGTTTAATCTACATCAAAAGATATACGTGACACAAACTTGACCCAACACACTCTCAGGACAGGATTTGGGACATTGAACAATAAAGAGAATCATAACAAAAACACTAATAATTTATGCAGGTACAAGTGATGGCAAACAACTCATGCAGGTGCTTGTTATCCACAAGAACTCTTACTATGTATTTATGTTTCTTATTTTTATGAATATTAACACTCGGTGATATGGGTGTGTCGTGTGAAGTAGTTGCTACAAGTTTCTCAAGTCTATATAAAAATACACTAAGCTCTTGGTAAACACCCATGTTATCACATTCCATCATTAATGTATGTATCTAATCATGTAATGATATCAACAAATATTTTGGAGCCTTCAGAACATCTTTCTTTGAAAAACTGGGCAGATTTATGTGAAATACACCTTTCTAATGGCAATATCAGTTTCCAAGGGTTAAAAAGTTTCTTTTTGGAAAAGTATGATCATGTTATAAAATTAATATGGATGATGGTTTGGACAAGATGACTTTTGCAGATTGAGTAAACTGTGTACAAAACAAAAACAGTTTATGTCTAATTATATTTTTTATCCCTAAGTAATATACACCTTCTGTTTTCATTCCATATGATGCAGCTCTGCATTTGTATGTTTAGTCTAGAATGGAACGTTTCTGTCATGTCACAATAACAAGTGGAAAGATGCCAAAAATGGCAAGGGAGAGGCTGAATATGAGATTTGAAATGTATAAATTTTGATTGGCAAAATAAACATCTTCAGACAGCCTATGACCATCTTACGCCCAATTAATCACCAGTTTCTAAACAAATCACAATATGATAATTAACAATACTTTTCCTTAAAGGGGCTGTGGGGTAGCCTAGTGGTTAAGGCGTTCGCTTGTCATTCCGAACACCCGGGTTCGATTCCCGACATGGGTACAATGTGTTAAGCCCATTTCTGGTGTTCCCCGCCGTGGTATTGCTGGAATATTGCTAAAAGCGGCGTAAAACCAAACTCACTCACTCACTCTCTCACTTTTCCTTAAACTAATATTTATAATCTTCACATTTTACTGAATATCATAGTCAGTTGTTTTTACTTTAATAACTACAAGACAATCTAGTCTGTCTCGCAGTCCCTGAAGCACATTATGTTCCCATCCACCCAGACTTTTCTGCAACGCTAAAGCCCTAAATGAAGCAAGTCTAGATTTCAACAGGTTCAGGTTCTGAATCTCCCTTCTCCCTGAGGCTCCTTTTCATTTTAAAAAGATTTGTTTGTTAATTTCAAATGTATATATATTCAGAGACTAAGCGTTAGTCTAAAGATAATCCGACGTTGTACAGATAAAAACATACTTATCTCCAAGTTGAAGTGAAGTTATATATTTTTCTTTTCTCAAAAGCATGGCAACACAACAACAAGCACCTGTTGCATGGTCTACTTCAAGTGTGATCCTTCTTTCAAATAAGATACCCTCTATGTAATCCTCTGAACAATCTGCCAATGAGTTGATCAAAGAGAGTTTGTTGTGTATTCCTATGATGCCATTGTAACCAATAACCATTCACTCCCAAGTGGTTGGTCCAGGGTGTGCAGGGCAACAATTCAGCCCCTTGTGGGTTAGGATCATGTCCTATCAGTGTTGTGAGCTGCCAGAGGTAAACAGCATTCCTGGTCCTATCTTCTCATCTATATCACTTGTTGATTACTAATATCTTACGGAATTCCTGCCGTCTAATAGCTGGAGTGGGCACATGCAGAAAATAGAGTTTGAAAGATTAAGTCACAGTGGGGCAGTCATTTCTACCTCCTATTAAGTTGGTTAGGATAATCTGTGTCACTTATGGACAATACACAATGTTATCAGCTTGGCAATTTATTCTTTTACCATCTCAGTGTCGTCTATTTTAATCCCTACTTTTGGCTTGGTACTGACATGAACAGGGAATATAATGTGATATCAACAGACAGTTGATTAGAAAGATATGAGAATCTTGGTTCTCAGGCACCATGCACATCAACAGAAACTCATGCATGTATGCATTATGGTTCTGGTTTCTGCAGAAGAAAATACTGGGAAAACACACTGGGAAAATAGAAGGCAATATGCCTGCAGCATGTCTTAAAAATATATGGCTGAAAACCAAATGATTTGCTAATGATATAGTCAGAATCCTACAATGGACAATGAAGATTGCATATAATCATGGAAGGGGTTTTGTTGATTTTATTTTTGCCAACCATACCCACCAGTAAAATAATATGTGTGATGCTGTTCTTGCCATGAAGTTGCATAATCCTTCTTTTAAAATAGAGCCATTTCATAGGTGCCTGCTAGGTTGTAAATGTCCATATGGTTATTATGATGTCATAATGATCATTGTGATGTCACTTATTGTCCATGTGATAACATCGATCTAACATGGTATATTTGGGATTATACTTTCTCAGTATTCATATCATTGTTTCACTTCACCAAGTTTCAACACAGTTTCCACATTACTGAGCATCATTAGTAAATTGTGAGTAAACACAGAATTCACCACAAGAAATGTGATACATTTACAATCATGTTCAAATAGTATTAAAACATGTGACAAAATATATGAAACACTTAAGTTTTCCTTGTCAGTAATATAAAAAGAAGATAGTTTACTGCTTGAGGCACAGTCAAAGACACTTGATAAAGACACATGTGGTTCTGACCTCTTGACACTGATTGCAAATACAGGCATGGATGTATGTACCTTTTACAATATGTCGTGGCAGCGGGGTAGCCTAGTGGTTAAAGCGTTCGCTCGTCATGCCAAAGACCTGGGTTCGATTCCGCCCATAGGTACAATGTGTTAAGCCCATGTCTGGTGTCCCCAGCTGTGATATTGCTAGAATATTGCTATAAGCAGAATAAATCTAAATTCACTCACTCACTCACTACAATATATCAGTTCATATCAATAATCATAATTCAATGCAAATATCAAGGCAAATAGGGACCTCCCTTCAGTGGATGTTAAAGCCCTACATTAAATGAAATAGTTAACGTGTGTTATTTGGAAGGTCTCATTTCAATATCACACTTCAGTATTGCATCATGATGCCATGATATTGATATATGAGCCTCACAGGTGCATGCTTTTACAGAATTTGATAACGCATGTAATAATCTTCACATAAACTAATTAAATTATGATTAAAATGTTAAATGTAAAACATCAACCCTCAATATTCAACTTTAGCCACAAGTATAAAAGCCCAATTTTGTCTTGTAAGCTTAGTTAATAAATATCCATATTTTTCCACTAAAATGAACTCAGCATGTTGGGCTGGTGGACTAAAAGATTTGGCACAGACAATGAGAGGAAATAAGTAGCCACAGTTATCTGTCAAAGTGTATTCCATTGGGCAGAGGTGCAAATTACAAAAATGAATCACTGTAAAGCAAACAGACCTTGCAAGCATATTTTGAGAAAAGATCACATACAATTTTCATAATAATTTAAAAAGAGGTCTTCAAATGCATTTCCCTGATCCAGAAATACCATTATGTCTAGCAATGTTTAACAGTAGTACCCTAATATTGCATTCCAAATAGTGATCCCCTTCGAACAGCTTGTTTGACCACATAGTTTTCATATAATATGTGTACTTAAATGATGGGTGCATGAAGACAATAGAAAAATGTTGCTAATGAAAGTTAGTCAAGTGCACATGATTCATGAGTTGAGACAAACAACCCTCTACATCTCAACTAGTGACTTCCTTCAAGCTGACATATCAAACATGGTCATTGCTCAACACAACATTATCCCTGTCACCTTCAAAGCATAGCTGTAGAGAGGTAGAGCTTTCAAGAAGCATGTATTCCAAACAAAGCCACATTATGTGCTGACACCACATATGAACATGTTGACATGTAATTCAAAAGTTACATACTAGAAATTCAGTTTGGGACAAACAATTCAATACAGTCTTTAAATGATCAAAGGGAGTGCGTGAGCGTTAATAGTGATCTCACCTATATTGGAGATTAGTCTGAAGGGTCCTGACCCACGGGAGTTGACCACCAGGAGCGCACTGTGGGATACATGATGGCAGTATGGGTCTACATAGCAGCATCAGTTGGTTCTTGTCGTGTCTCAACAGCCAACCAGACTCCTGCAAATACATACATAGTTACAACTGTTGTACCTTGAAACAGTGTTGCTAAGGTTTATTGTTTAAAATCAATGACGGCTTCCAGGAAAGTCTGGAAGAGTTCATGTATTGGCTTATCGATATGGTTCCTGATAATATAACCCAGACTTGAATCTACAGTGGAAACCATGTTTACCTTACAAGTCCATTGATTGGCTAGATTTCTCATCATATTTGATGTTTGTTGTGGAGACAGCCTCAACAAATAAGAAGTGTGATAGACGAGAGAATTCATCAATACTAATCCCATAAAATGTTCAATATTTAACCTGATTTATTGATATTTTGTCATTTTTTTCTATTTTTTCCATAGTGTTATTATTATGCTAAATAAAACACACACTTTCATTCTCACACACATCGCGACACACACACACACACACAAACACACATGGGACATTACAACATGAAAGGCTGCACTAAAGCTCCACAAAACATTAAAGGGTAGAAAAGTAAAGCTGCCATATGCAGTTCCTTATTTGACTTGTATCAAATATTATCGTGTTGTTGTTTTTCAGGTTATTAGTTGACTTTCCTTTGCATGTGACCCATGAAGGTTCGGGTTAGAATATTGGCCTTCAGTAACCCATGCTTGTCGTAAGAAGCAACTAACGGGATTGGGTGGTCAGGCTCACTGACTTGGTTGACACATGTCATTGGTTCCCAGTTACGCAGATCGATGCTCATGCTGTTGATCTCTGGATTGTCTGGTCCAGGCTCAATTATTTACAGACCGCCACCATATAGCTGGGATATTGCTGAGTGCGGCGTAAAACTAAACTCACTCACTCACTCCTTTGCATGTGTTTATGATGGGTACCAGTGGTGGGGCAGGATATGTCACCTGGTACCATCACTATTTGATAATGATAACACATGTTCATGTTATAGTCGTTATCATACAGCAGATTTAGCTTTTAGCAGAGATTTTTAAGAAAATGGAAAGGGTTTTGTTGTGTTTATATTTACATACCTGGACCTTCAGTAACAAATTTCAGTTTCAGTTTCATGTTACATATAAGACAGTATATACTGATGTTATTTGTTTATAGTGTTCACTCGTCACACTGAAGACCTGTGTTCGATTCCCCATTTTTGGTGTCCGCCACCGCGATATTTGCTGGAATATTGCTTAAAGCAGCGTAAAACTGAACTCACTCACTCACACATCTATGCGATATTGATTACCCTGTTGACTATCCTTATTGCAACACTAGCCAAAACCATACTTCGTTATTTCTCTTTTACGCAGTGAACTTTAGTCTGTGGCTCCAAGGCTATTTTAAGTCACAGACATTCAAAATTGAGGAGAGTTGTATCTGTCCGCAAGATAACAGAGTATCACTGAATGAAAAAAACATAAGTTCAAAGCAATTCTTGTAATCCAAGTCTTTTTCTCAGAATGTATGGGAAGGTTTACTCAGATTTTGATAAAGTTATGGAGTTAACTACATTCAACACACTGAATAACCTCAAGCATATGTCCATTAGTGCTCCCTTTGATTCATTGTATCAATGGGTGGTTTCAAAGCAAATATTTGTCCCATCAGATTGTAATACATTTTCTTGAACACCACAAACTCCAAAATAGGTCTGAAATTCTTTGATATGTGTGTGTTGTAAAATGATCGTGGGAATACAAACACATTTTGTATTTTCCAATAGCTCTGTATTACAATGGGAATAGATAAATTCTTATAGTCTTGGAGTGTGGAGAGTTGTTTCCCTTGAATTGGTAACACTTACAGAGGGAGAACATGGAGAATGGATATTGGAAATAAGGTGTACATATGATTAAAATTAATTATTATTCAGACTTCAGATAACATTTGATTTTTGTATGAAGATTATGAAGAATTTGTCTGTTTTTTGCAGCAAGAAAATAACGGGTTATCAGTTGTGTTATCAAAGAATGTGGTGATTAAAATCTCCAAGGAAAGCTTATTTGAACTACTTATAATTATGTTTTTCATTTCTTTTATCATATATTTTAGTAAATTCTTGTTCAGACATTCACGCAAGATGAGAAAGTCAACAAAGACACATTGACATGACAGTGTAGGGTGCTTCATTCACATATCATCTCCCCTCAGAATAGACACACTGAAATAGGCGACATACTCTGAGTACAAACGTTTGAGCACTTATGAATATTGATGATTGTTTGAAATTAAAGTACCTAGATACATAATGATACATTCCAACAGGTGCCCTTTGATCCTCGATCCCCATTGTATGGCTATCAAGCTGAGGCTGAGGATCATGGACAAACAAAATGGTTCCCTGTGTTCAGTATGCTTAGGCAAAGTTGAATTACTTGGATAGTTTACACATGCGCAAAGTACTGGTTTCTTTTAGTTTTAGTGACTAAGAAAACATGATGTGGCAATAATGTGAATTCTGTTACATTATTTCCAGCTTGAACCCATGAACATTCATGTCAGAATTCATGTGCAACGATCCATGCTTGTTGCAACATGGAACTAATGAAATCGGGTCATATCCCTGCTTAGATCAATGCCCATCATGTCCATCAGTGGATTTTTTTATCCAGAGTCAATTATTTTCAGACTACCATCATATTGCTATAATATTGCTGTAATATTGCTTAATATTGCTATAATATTGCTGAGTTCCGAATTAAGCGAAAAACAAACAAATTTCCAACTTGTAATCGCAAGGTCAATATTTATGTCCAAGGTCTTGTTCCACAAGGTAACCTTTGTATAACAATCATCTTAGCGATAAGAACGGCTGGTGAAAAAAGGGACCTGCATCAAACCCCAAAGGGATGAAATGTGAGTAGATCCTTTCCTGGCCTGACCTGTGAAGATCCGGGGTAGAATAGGTCTTCAGCAACCCATGCTTGCCACAAAAGGCGACTATGCTTGTCGTAAGAGGCGACTAACGGGATCGGCCTGTCAGGCTCGCTGACTTGGTTGACACATGTCATCGGTTCCTAAAGATCGATCGATGCTCATGCTGTTGATCACTGGATTGTCTGGTCCAGACTTGATTATTTACAGACCACCACCATATAGCTGGAATATTGCTGAGTGAGGCGTAAAACTAGACTCACTCACTCACTCACTTTCCTGGCCTTTGCAAAGTATCAGGATATGTTCCTGTGAATTGCCATTTTTTACTTCAAAGCTTTGATCTCATGCAATGATGACATGCAGGAATATATCCAAAGCAATAAGGTCAATTTTCATAATCTAAGTATAAGTAAAACTCTATGTGAACAAATTTTTCAGCTTTTAGTTTACTGCCTGTATTTTATTGCCTTAAAAAAGTAAGATTGCCTGAAGCATTTCAATGTTTCAATATTTGATAAAATGCTTCAAACCACTTCACTTGCTTGATAACGGTGTTAGAACCTACACCAAAACGTCAATCTCACTGTAATAAAGAAGTTATGCATCCCAACATTGTTATCCTTCCAAAATGAGGTAGTTTGTTTTAATTTTTTACCTCTTCATCATCATTTTCAGTGATGTTCTTGTAAAGGATATGAAAAGAATGAATTTCTTTCTCTTAAACAGGTCTCATAAATTCTGACATTTAGTGACTTAATACTTTCATATTATGCTGGCCACAGATGCCCAGTGGTCAAAGCCTGCTCTGCAGAGTTCTGTCCCTTAGCTGATGCAGATTGGAGTCTGTCTCCCTGACACAAGAAGATAAATTAAATAATGAGGGCACATCAAGTTTAAAATTGAACATATCTAGATTGCCTCATCTCTAAAATTAAGTTTTGTTCTTAACTCCATTTTGATTTTATCTATTTTTTTCTTGTGAACATATATATCTATAACTTAGATGACGTTATTTCTACAGCAAAATGTCATATTAGGGATTAGTGACTGAGTGAGTGAGTATAGTTTTACGCCACTTTCAGCAATATTCCACCAATATCACACTGGGGGACACTAGATATAAACTTCGCAAATTGTACCCATGTGGGGAATCGAACCTGGCTCTTCAGCATGACGAGCGGAAGCTTTAACCAATAAGCTACCCCAACTCTCGATTGGTGATTTAACCAATGGCTCCGATCTCAGTTTCAGAAAGCATCATCATGCTGCAACTGTCATGAGCCTATGTTGAGTGTAGAAGATATGACAGTCATAGGGCCTAGGACTGTTTTTGGTTTCCCTGTCACATTAAACTGACAGGATGTGACTGAAATACTGTCCACTGCAGCATTAAATTGTCATTTCTACCTGGACCAAATATTTACACACTACGCCAGGTGCTGTGTGTTGGGCATTATCATGTGGTATATCCTTTCGTAAGGATCAACATCTTTCAGTTAGAAATAATTTTACATTCATTTTCACCCTAATTGTGAACTTATGTAAACATTACTATATTCAACTATAGAATAAAAACTTTGAAGCAGCTTCTTATTAGTTTAGTGAATAAGCAATATCCTAGGGCAATATAGGAGGGTTATACCATAATGAAGAGTTTTATGTCAGAGGTGTATAGCTAATTTAGTCATCAAAAGATGTTTAACACCCTGAGATGGGCAGTCTAGTGAGTCCTATAATTAAGAGATCGGTATCTGTTTAGAGAGGTGATTCTTATTGTATGAGGAACTTGCATAGGTAGATTAGATTTCTCAATAGACTTGTCACCAGCATCGCTACCTGTGGGAGCTTGCACAGATCGTATCACACCTACATTCACCTGCTGTCTTTGTGGGGAACTGATGGCAAATCAGGGGGAGGGGCTGTGTCAAAAGTGGCTGTATCAGATTGCGCCAAGCTTCATCCAGCATGCAATCTCAGGTGTTTTTTCCTGTGTCTAGACAGGGTAGGAAAAAGTTAGAAAGAGACAAAAAATGTGAAAGGGTGCAGTGTTTCTAATGTTTTTGAATTATTAGAATTTTCACTGAAAGGCATAAGGGCATCATCTGTTAGTGGTTAACAGCAGTAGTTAATTGAAATTTGAGG